ACAAGCCTATCCGATGTTATCCCGACGCCAAAAGACTTCGAACAGGCGATAAAAAGACATTTCCATGCACTCTGCCCCAGGGCCAGACTCATGGAACTCTGTGTTCATCAAGAACTGCAAGAAGCCCCTATCACGAGCCTTTTCCATCCTATGGAGAGGGGGGCATGGACACGGGGGTCGTCCCTCAGTTACTAAAAACAACAGACATAGCCCCACTCCACAAAGGGGGCAGTTAAAGCAACAGCAAAGAACTACAGACCCAAAAGCACTAAATCCCATATCATAAAATCTTTGAAAGGGTCCTAAGAAGCAAGATCACCACCCATCTAGAAACCCCTCAGTTACACAACCCAGGGCAACATGGGTTTAGAACAGGTCGCTCTGTCTGTCTCAACTACTGGATCACTACGACAAGGTCCTAAATGCACTAGAAGACAAAAAGAATGCAGATGTAATATATACAGACTTTGCAAAAAACCTTCGCAGTTTTGACCATGGCGTTAATAGCGCACAAAATGCCGCTAAAAGGGAAAAAAGGAAAAATCGGTCGATGGATCTATAATTTCCTCACTAAACAGAACACAGAGAGTAGTCGTCAAAAGAGTAAAGTCCGAGGCAGCTACGGTGAAAAAACTCTGTCCCACAAGGCACAGTACTAGCTCCCATCTTGTTCCTCATCCTCATATCCGACATAGACAAGGATGTCAGCCACAGCACCGTGTCTTCCTTTGCAGATGACACCCGAATCTGCATGACAGTGTCTTCCATTGCAGACACTGCAAGGCTCCAGGCGGACATCAACCAAATCTTTCCAGTGGCTGCAGAAACAATATGAAGTCACAACGATGAGAAATTTCAATTACTCAGATATGGTAAACAATAGAAATTAAATTCTTCATCAGAGTACAAAAGCAAATTCTGGCCACAAAATACTCGAAAACACCAACGTCAAAGACCAGGAGTGATTATGTCCGGAGGACTCACCTTTCAAGGACCATAACAATTGGAATCAATCGCATCTCTAGAAAAATGACAGGATGATAATGCGAACCTTCAAAAACTAGGAGGCCAAGCCCATGATGACACTCGTCAGGTCACAATTGTTCTATCTAGCTGGAATATGCTGCTCTCTAACAGCACCTTTCAAGGCAGGTGAAATTGCGACCTAGAAAATGTACAGAGAACTATCACGGCGCGCATAACGGAGGATAAACACCCTCAATTACTGGAGCGCTTGAGGTATCTAAACCTGTTATTCCCTGGAACGCTGGAGGGAGAGATACATGATTATATACACCTGGAAAACCTAGAGGGACTAGTACCAAACTTGCACACGAAAATCACTCACTACGAAAGCAAAAGACTTGGCAGACGAATGCACCATTCCCACCAATGAAAGCAGGGGTGTCACTACACGTTAAGAGACATACAATAGTGTCAGGGCCCGAACTGTCAACTGCCTCCCAGCACACATAAGGGGGATTACAACAGACCCTGGCAGTCTTCAAGCTGTGCACTGGAGACAAGCACCTAAAGACAGTTCCTGATCAAGCCGGGCTGTGGCTCGTAACGTTGGTTTGCGTCAGGCCAGCAGCAACTTCCCTGGTTGATCAGGCGCTGATCCACCGGAAAGGCCTGGTCCCAGACCGGGCCAGCGGGGGCGTGACTCCCCGAAACTCTTCTCCAGGTAAACTCCAGGTCCAGATGGTATGGTGTGGACCTACCCCCACAGGAGGTATGGGGTGACAACCACCCACAGGATGGTTAGTGTGTGACTACCGTCCACATGAAGGGTATGGGGTGACTGACCACCCACAGGATGGGTTTGAGGTATCTTCCACCACACAGGATTGGTATTGGTTGACTACCACCCCCAGGAAGGGTATTAGTGACTACCACCCACAGGATGGGTAAGGTGTGACTAAACACCCACAGGATGGTATGGGTGTGGACTAACCACCCACAGATGGGTTGGGGTGGACTACCACCCATCAGGATGGGTAATGGTTGACTATCCACCACAGGAATGGGTAATGGTGTGACTACCACCCACAGGATGGGTATGGGGTGACTACCACCCACAGGATGGGGTATGGGATGACAACCACCACACAGGATGGGTATGGGGTGACTACGCACCCACAGGATGGGTATGGGGTGACTACCACCCACATGATGGGTATGGTGTGACTACCACCCACAGGATGGGTATGGTTGACTACCACACCAACAGGAGGGTAATGAGGTGACTACCTACCCACAGGATGGGGTATGGTGTGGACTACCACCCACAGATGGTTATGGGGTACAACGCACCCACAAGGATGGGTATGGAGTGGACTACCGTCCCACAGGATGGGTAGTGGGGTGACTATTACCAACCACCAGGAGGGTATGAGGTTACTTCCACCCACAGATGGGGTATGGGAGAACTACCACCCCAGGATGGGTATGAGTGACTACCACCCACAGATGGGTGTATGTGGTACTACCACCCACAGGATGGGTATGGTGTGACTACCACCCACAGGATGGGTATTGGGTGACTACCACCCACAGGATGGGTATGGTGTGACTACCACCCACAGGATGGGTATGGGGTGACTACCACCCACAGGATGGGTATGAGGTGACTACCACCCACAGGATGGGTATGGGGTGACTACCACCCACAGGATGGGTATGGGGTGACTACCACCCACAGGATGGGTATGGGGTACATAAACATATTAAACTTACACAACCAAGCCAAATAAAGGCAGCGTCATAATCTCCGAGTGTATTAGCAAGAATCCTCCTCAAAACAGTAAACCCGGCCGTCACACAGTTGCTGTTGATACCACACAAGAGGAAGGGGCACTGTAACAAGCCGCCTCAAAACCAACCAGAAATATCTACCCAGCCTATTTTATGCTACCCAAATAGATGAAATAGTGCCTCCACTACACCTCAGTCTAGGCCTATATATACCCTCTGTGTCCATGTATTGTTTATAACGGCTTGTAAAGGCTCCTGGAGAGCGAAACGTTGCCACAATACAATGTCACATTAGTTGCACTTGTGGCGTTTTACCGAACTTATTGTGGGTAATTCTGGCAGTTAATAACAGCTTCTCAGTAGACTCTTAGACCTTTGTTGTGACAGGACGGTGCTTTATATAGTCTGTTTATCTCTGTTTCCTGTGACACCCACTGATGAATGTGCTGGAGTGGTGGTGCAACACTGGTGGTGCAACACTGGTGGTGCAACACTGGTGGTGCAACACTGGTGGTGCAACACTGGTGGTGCAACACTGGTGGTGCAACACTGGTGGTGCAACACTGATGGTACAACACTGGTGGTACAACACTGATGGTAAAACACTGATGGTACAACACTGGTGGTACAACACTGATGGAACAAACACTGTGGTACAACACTGGTGGGACAACATGACTGTGGAACAAACACGTGATGGTACAACACTGGTGGTACAACCACTGATGGTACAACTACTGTGGTACAACACTGTGGTGACAACACATGGTGTAGCAAACACTGGTGAACAACACTGTGGAAACAACACTGATGGTACAACACTGGTGGTACAACACTGGTGGTACAACACTGGTGGTACAACACTGATGGTACAACACTGATGGTACAACACTGATGGTACAACACTGGTGGTACAACACTGGTGGTACAACAACTGAGTACAAACACTGAATGGTAAAACACTGAAGGAAGCAGACACTGATGGTTAACAGTCACTGGTGGTACAACACTGGTGGTACAACACTGGTGGTACAACACTGGTGGTACAACACTGGTGGTACAACACTGGTGGTACAACACTGATGGTACAACACTGGTGGTACAACACTGGTGGTACAACACTGGTGGTACAGACACGTGTGGTTAGCAACACTGGTGGTACAACACTGATGGTACAACACTGGTGGTACAACACTGATGGTAAAACACTGATGGAAACAACACTGATGGACAACACTGATAGGTACAACACTGGTTGTACACACACTGTGGTACAACACTGGTTGAACAACACTGTGGTACAACACTGTTGGTACAACCCTGATGGTACAACACTGGAGGATACAACACCGGTGGTACAACACTGTGTACAACACTGGTGGGTACAGACACGTGGTGGTCACAACATGGGGTACAACACTGGTGGTACAACGACTGGTGGTGCAACACTGGTGGTACAACACTTTGGTACAACACCGGTGGTACTAACACTGGTGGTACAAACACTTGAAGGTACAACACTTGGTGTACAACACTGGTGACTAACACAGATGTACAAACACTGTTGGTACACACGCGGTGGTACGAAACAACTTGTGGTACGACACTGATGTACAACACTGAGAATGGTACACACTGGTGTACAACACTGGTGTACAACACTGGTGACAATCCTGGGTGGTACAACACTGTGGTACAACACGATGTACAACACTGGCGGTACAACACTGGTGGTAACAACACTGGTGGTAGCAAACACTGGGGTACAACACTGGTGGTAGCAACACTGGTGGTACAACACAGGTGGAACAACACTGGTGTTACAACACGGGGGGGGGGGGGGGGGGGGGGGGTGGGGGGGGGGGGGGGGGGGGGGCACTGTGGTACAACACCGGTGGTACAGACACTGGTGGTACAACCACCTGAAGGAACAACACTTGTGTACAACACTGGTGGAACAACACTGATGGTACAACACTGTTGGTACAACACCGGTGGTACAACACTGGTGGTACGACACTGATGGTACAACACTGATGGTACAACACTGGTGGTACAACACTGGTGGTACAACACTGGTGGTACAACACGTGGTGGTATCACACTGGAGGTACAAACACTGATGGTACAAACACAGCGTACAACACTGGTGGTACAACACTGGTGGTACAACACTGGTGGTACAACACTGATGGTACAACACTGGCGGTAGAACGCCTCTTAAATAATAAATAAAAACTCGGTAAATGTGGCATATTTTTATTATTCTCGTTAGAGACTTTTACCTAACTAATATAATGAATATAAAACATGGCTGTTACATTGTACATAATACCTAAGTAATTCATTGTATAACGAACCCGATTTAAACAGTTTTTTAAAAGGATGGACCCAAATTTAAGGCAATTTGCTTTAAAACTGGGTCAATGTATTTGGGACACTGTGTAATGGTATTGGTGTTTGTGGTGTTCTGTCGTCTTGATTATCTACCTCTGGATCCCTGGTACTGGTGTTTGTGCTGTTCTGTCGTCTTGATTATCTACCTCTGGATCCCTGGTACGTGTTTGTGGTGTTCTGTCGTCCTTGATTATCTACTACCTCTGGATCCCTGGTAACTTGTGTTTGTGGTGTTTCTGTTCGTCTTGATTATCTACCTCTGGATCCCTGGTACTGGTGTTTGTGCTGTTCTGTCGTCTTGATTATCTACCTCTGGATCCCTGGTACTGGTGTTTGTGGTGTTCTGTCGTCTTGATTATCTACCTCTGGATCCCTGGTACTGGTGTTTGTGCTGTTCTGTCGTCTTGATTATCTAACCTCTGGATTCCCTGTACTGGAGTTTGTGGCTGTTCTGGTCGTCTTGATTATCTACGCTCTGGATCCCTGGTCACTGGTGTTTGAGCTGTTCTGTCGTCTTGATTTTCTACCTCTGGATCCCTGGTACTGGGGTTTGTGCTGTTCTGTCGTCTTGATTATCTACCTCTGGATCCCTGGTACTGATGTTTGTGCTGTTCTGTCGTCTTGATTTTCTACCTCTGGATCCCTGGTACTGGTGTTTGTGCTGTTCTGTCGTCTTGATTATCTACCTCTGGATCCCTGGTACTGGTGTTTGTGCTGTTCTGTCGTCTTGATTATCTACCTCTGGATCCCTGGTACTGATGTAAGCATTGGGGCGTGTTTCCTTAAGGCATCTGCTGTTCACCTAGCAGTAAGTAGGTACCTGGTGTTTATCACTTCGCACATTTGGCACTGTTATCTACGTAAGTAGGACCTGGGTCGGTATATCTAGCAAGTTAGTAGGTACCTGGGGGTGTTTAGTCACTTGAAACCACAAATGCTGGCAACTTTTTAATCTATCAGAAATAGTTACCTGGGTGTTTGTCACTTTGCACATGCCTTGCACTGTTTTGCATTAGCAGTAAATTAGGTCTGGGTCTGTTTATCCTAGCCTAAATAATGGGTTAAGCCTGGTGTTAGTGGGTGGGGGTTTGGGTGGGAGTCACTTTACACATGCTGGCACTTTTTATCTATGCAGTAGTCAAGGTACCTGGGGTTAGTCACTTTAGCACATGCCTGGCACTGTTCACCAGCAGTAAGTAGGTACCTTGGCGTTAGTGAGACTGGTGTGGGTGGCATCCCTGTACAAAACTGACCTAATCTGCGGGAGAAATTGCTGTACATTAACAAGGAACTTTCTATATAGAAGTATGTCATAGGAGTCAGCTATGTCTGTATAAGTAGTATCATGTACAATGCTAGAAATAAACCTTATATTATTATTCATATTATTATTAATATTATTAGTTATTATATTATTATTATTATTATTATTATTATTATTATTATTATTGATTAATAATATTACGAGATGGTAAGTTGAAGTTCCTCACCGTCATTGATTTTGATGCTGTTTGCTTGAGGTACTTATTCCGTGTTTGGTAGATGTGTGTAGACGTCCAGATGACTTTGTCGAGGCTTGAGTGGTTAGACCTGTCGTTGTCGATGATTCTTGAGATTTCAAGCTCGTGTTTCTTGATGATGCTTGTAGGGTCAAAGTTGTTGATGGAGAGGCCAAAGTAGTCGCTGTCGTTGCTGGAGAGGTCAAGGTTGTTGATGACGCGGGAGGGGCCAACAATCGTGTCACTGATGACAAGATAGTGGATGAACTTAGCAAGCAATGTCAAGACGGCAAAGGTCAGGGTGAAAGCACAACTTCTGAAAACTTTGCGGTGGGTAGCGAGTTGCTTACGTTCTGACGCAGAGAGTGAAGAGACTGGTAGCTGCTGCGGTCTTTGCGCAGCTGCAGCTGCTGTTAAGGGAGAGTGTGCATTAGGGCCAGAAGGACAGGTGCCAGGAAGTGGTCCAGGTTGACCATCATTCTGGCCTCCAGTCACAGGATGATTCTCAGCATCAATGAGGAGCTGAGTATCAGGACCATGGCGGCCAAACTTCATGATTCTTTCCTTCTGGATGGAGACTGTGGGTTAGCTAGGCGAGAGGCTGTCTACTCTGCCTGATGCACAGACGTGAACTAGCGGGACTGTGGCCATAATCCATCACAGGATATAAACGCTGATAGGTGTATCTCTCTCAGTACATACACACAGATATTACAGTAAACTCTGTTTGTTAGGTATTAAAGTATTCTTGGCTGTAGGTGAACAGGTGACATCCTTAATGACCCTTAGTGTACTGAATAGGTTTTAAGCCAAATTAAGTAAATAACAAACCACGGCTACCAGTGGTAGCTGCGTAGTTACTGATTGTAGCTACGTAGTTATTTATGGTAGCTAGGTAGCTACTTATGGTAGCTACGTAGTTATTAATGGCAGCTACGTAGTTATTTATGGTAGTTAGGTATTTATTTAGACATGATATTCGCATTGTAAGTTGCATTGTTGGATAATGAGAGTTAAAGTGTGTCTACTACACGAAGAACAACAATGCGCAATACCGTGACTGGAACAATACAAAAATAACTGTACTTAGAAAAGAAGAGCTTACGACAACGTTTCGGACCGGATCGAACCATTTACAAGTTACACTAACACGCGAAGTTGAGAAAGACAGTATGTACAGGGAAGGGGAACTGGGATGGTACAAAGACGTGGAGAAATATTGGTAGAGGTAATGGTGGTAGTGGTAAGCAGAAGGAGTAGTGATAGTGGGACATGAAAAAGAAGGGGAGTCAGCTGAGGCAATAGAAGCCGAGCTAAGAAGGACGATAACGTACCTATGGTTCTCGGTTGCAGGTTAGAACGTACAACCCAGAACTTTTGAGGTGTTTTAAGTGCCACAGGTACAACCATTTCATCACCTAATGTCAATTTAAGGAAATCTGTGGCATCTGCAGTGTGTTTCACCCGACCTACGACTGCTTGGGTAAACCGAAGAGAAGGGAAGCTACGGAACCTCGGTGTCCGAACTGCGGCAAGAAGCATCATGCCTGGAATCTGCACTGCCTGGAAGGCTCCGCCGTGTCAAGGCAGCATGGAAAGCCCTGATTGTTCAGCATCAAGTAGAGCCCCACCACTGAGCAGCAGCCTCGTTCAGGGGAGGCTACAGTAACACGGAATCCAGGGTCACTTCCCCGGCCACAGCGACGAAGGAAGCCGAGGAAGCATCAGCAACGGGATCACGCCTCTGCTCAGCCATCATACAATACTTTTGCTTAAATTTCCACCCGAGAACGGCAGCCAACGGGCCCCATGATGGAAAAAAAAAACTACAGACAACGCATCAACCCCAAGAGTCACCAGTGCGGAACACTGTAGTCCAAGAGAGCAAAACAGGACATCCAGTATTTCCTCTGATGTCCACAATCACCTGCTTCATCGATATCATAATCGACCTGACAGACTCAGAAGAAAACAAAGGAACATTCAGAACTATTGTGAAGACCTTCGTGAGCATATACATGATGGACAAAACAGAATCCATGTGTTTATTTGCAAATTTACCAGACCACTCAACACAGGGCCCAGAGACAATGTTGAGAGGCCTGATGGCCTCAACTCGCTGTTAAACATACAATTCTTTACTGTGGAACGCACAGGGACTACAACACCCTGATCACGACCACAGAACAGCTAAATTAGATCGACATCTCCTTCGAGAGCCCCAGACGGGTCATCTTACGATTAAGACCATCGTCAGGACGAAGTTCCCGACGAGCCACTCAAATAAACAAGCCTTCGTGTGTTAATGTGTCTTGTAACTGGTCCAAGACGGACCGAGACGTCGTTCCAAGCTCCTCTCTCCTACGTGAGAGTTATTTATGTATTATTCCTGACTTGCCATGATTGTGACCAGATCTACCTGGAGTTCATTACCTTTGTAACTAGTTCAGCTATCATAACTTTGGGGTTCAGTCCCTGGACCCATTATGTACCTTTGTAATCTTTTGACTACCGCCCACAGGATGGGTATGGTATGACTACCGCCCACAGGATGGGTATGGTGTGACTACTGCCCACAGGATGGGCATGGTGTGACTACCGCCCACAGGATGGGTATGGTGTGCATAATAAAGATATTAAACTAACTAAAACTCCCGACACGATGTTGTGTCTTTTTGTTAGTTAATTCGATGTCTCACAGAGATTGTATATTTGTCGTCTTAATCATTGTTATGGAGTAAAATTTAATAAGCTAAAGAATGAAAATTGAAACATACTTTACGCGAGACAGAGTTTTATTGGAACATTAAGGATTTTACTTATCTACAAGTATTTAAGTGAAACATAATATCATTTGTTGGTAAATATTTTTTTGTGGTTTGTGATGAGCTGTTGTGGGAAGGGAAGCATCAGGGAGGAGATCTTCTTGGCCAGCCTCAAGACAGACTCTTTAGTGAGTAACTTATAAAGTAAGTGTAAGTACGGGTCCACTTAAGTACACTTATCATACATAGTAACATATGCAAGACAAGCCACGGGGGGGAAGGGGGTGGAAATTCTTAGCTCAAGTACTTTCACATTTCTCAGTGCGTCATCAGGAGCTGTGCAATGTTGCAAGGGAGCAACAGAAGAATTAGGGTAAGTTTTTTTTCAGAGTATGGTAGCATGGTGGCACCAGAATTGTCAAAGTACCTGAGATAAAGATTTCCACCCCCCGTGACTTGTCTTACATTGTTAAATTGCCTGTCTGTCATTATTTTTGTACAGTAACGTATGAGACCTGGTCTCAGACCGGGCCACAGGGGCGTTGACCCCCAATAATCTAGGTATGGCAACTGAGTTCTAAGACTTACAAGCCAGTGCGTTAACCACTGAGCCAGCTGGCGCTAATAACAGTCATCCAGCTGGTACAGTGGTTAACTGGCCCACTGGGCCAGCTGGCTCTAACAAGAGTCATCCAGCTGGTACAGTTGTCAGCACACTGGCCCACTGGGCCAGCTGGCTCTAACAAGAGTCATCCAGCTGGTACAGTGGTTAACTGGCCCACTGGGCCAGCTGGCTCTAACAAGAGTCATCCAGCTGGTACAGTTGTTAGCAAACTGGCTCACTGGGCCAGCTGGCTCTAACAAGAGTCATCCAGCTGGTACAGTTGTTAGCAAACTGGCTCACTGGGCCAGCTGGCTCTAACAAGAGTCATCCAGCTGGTACAGTTGTTAGCAAACTGGCTCACTGGGCCAGCTGGCTCTAACAAGAGTCATCCAGCTGGTACAGTTGTTAGCACACTGGCTCATATTTAAAACATCTGATAATCCTAACACCAATAATCTTGTCAGATTAAAACATTAATTACCTGGCTGGTTTAATTAAGTACAAATATATAGATAATTTACACAGTAACAGTAATAATATTAG